ATGACAGACGTGTGCATGGAAAGAGATTATACCCTGCCCCCTTTTGGCCCTTCCACCAGCCTCTTCTGGAAACAATAGTTTGCAGAGCAAGGGATTTTCAAAGCACTAACACAAGGAAAGAAGTGGCAGAGCTTAATCGCTTTGTATCAAACAGCAGAAGATGTGCAAGGATGGTGGAAGATGAGTAGATGGTAGCCTGATTTCATTGAGAGAAATCCAGTCATATTTTCTCCTTCAAGTTTAGCCACCACAGTATCTCAAACCAAGGCAATGCTGGTGGAAAATGAAAATTATATCCCTGATGTGCCTCAAACAATATCTCTTTCCTTTGGTTACTGAAGTGTGTTTTATGGATTAGGAAGCATTTTTATGAATTGAAATAGTCAAAATAAAATGGTGCTATGGTATTTTAATGTGACTGTCCCTGATCCTGTCTTGCTGAGGTGCTATCAGATCAACGTTATGAAACCACAACCAACCAAAAACAAGGTGGGCTCCAGTCTCTCTGGCTTTTTTTTTTTTTTTTTAACCCCGTCTTTTGGTGCTGTCTTCTTTGACCTCTGTGTACCGTGCTATATCTGCTCTGAGCAGTTTTTCTGTTTTACTATTTTCCCTTGGTGGCCAAACAAAGAAAATTTGAGAGGGCAGCTAGCTCTCTGGCTGCCTATGGGAATGGACTTAGCTGGCTTGGCAGGTCCTTTGGTTTCACACCTGTTGTCTCAGGCCTAATGAGAAAGAAAGGGTCAAGGGCTTTGTTTATTTTATTGAGGAAGGGGGAATTGGGGCTTCTGCCTCTTCTAACATGGCAGGCATCCACATAGCCAGGAATACACGTTTTCCTCCTGTAGCCCAAGAAGACATCTCTAGGAGTCCTGAGGTTGACCAGATGGATCTCCTTCCTCACTGGCACTAGCTGGGACCATGGTGGGCAGGGGGGCCATTTCTCTGCTCCTCTCATTCTTTGTCTCAGCATTGCTTCTGCCTCTTGTTGGTAACACCTCCTGTTCAAACTAAAGAAAGGAGCTTTTTTTGCTCTCCGATGCCACAGAGGCTGCTTTTTAGTTGGTGCTATTCTAAATTTCTTCTTGGGTCCACAGGAGTTGATGTTTTAAAAACTCAACAGGAAGCTCCATTTTGTGTCATCCACTGTCACTTTTTTTTTTTAATACCTCAAAAACAGGACATTGTGACAACTTTGGTAAAGTAGATTCTGTGAGAGTCTGATACTTGCAGGCTATCCATTTGACGATGATGTACTTGACCTTTAAGAATCTGGGGTCATTTTACTTTTTATTCATCAGCAGTTAAAATTGCAGAACACCTAAAGGAGCATTGTTGACTTTTTTTTTACGTTTTGCTTTTGAATAAAATGTGAATTTCCTATGCCCATCTCATTGAGCTTTCTCAGTCATTATTGCTGTCATTTGAAATGATTCCGTCAAATCCTAGTTTGACTAGCCAGCTATATCTGTAGTAGTACATGGCCAACTTCAACAAACCCTGGACCAAAATGAACACTTTTTGAGGTGCATGCCCCCAGCATATGTTAAAATCCCAC